TTGTTCCGGCTATTTTCCGCTTTTCAGGATTCATGAAGCGGCAACTCTGTTCTTATATAATAAGTCATGATCCATGTGACGTTAGCACGAGCATCAATCAGAAGACAGATCTAATTTTTCAGTCAATTTCGTTTCATATTTTACCGATTACGATCCGATAATGTTAATTCTTGAAAACACTTAACATTTGTACGAAATTAACAGAGCTATTCAAAACAACATAAAAACTTACTTATTATCTTCGTGCCATTAGTTTCATATAATACTAGAGAATCCATCTGCCAAACAGAGTCACCCGCATTTTTGCAGAATATAAATCAACTCAAGTCACCAGATCGAATAATTTTCATCCATCGAACGATTGTTAGTGCTCAATATAGACGAAAAATATCCAAAATTCTACACACGATAAACAATCATTCAGAAGATTCTTCACGATATATATGTCTCTCCGTTTGCGGGAGTGTACTCAATACGAACAAAGTAGCACATAATATGCTGTCTTATTGAAGAAACGAGAACCCAACAGATTGAGGTGGCAGCTTCAACTGTAACAAGAGAAGCCTTCCATTTTTTATGTTGATCATGATCTGACATTACTACAAAGATTAGAATGAAAAGAGAAAATGGACACATTTATTTTTTGCTTTTTCTTCCTAAAAAAAAAGTTCCATTGAATGTCTTCGATTGCATTTGTTAAAAGTCGATATAAGAAAACTCTGGGCTCATTGATATTCATGACACACAAGTATTTCATCAATGTATCTTAAAGATGATTTTTTCATGATTTCATAATGACATCTTTCGTTGACTAAGTGTTTTTGTTGATGATATAATAGATGTGATAAATGACAATATTTGAATTCTTTCATTCATGATGAATTGATAGACAAAGTTTCTTCATTCTCTTTTTGCCTCCGTGAAAGTGGCCGTATTGCTTTGATTCAATGGTATTACGAAAAGAATAAAACTTCGACCGAAAGATTTTTAAAAAGCAATAAATATTTTCGTTGCGCATTTTATGCAACGAAAAAAAAAATCGATATCGATAGACATCTGATCGTATTTCAAATGGCTTTTACCATCGAACATGTTTTAGTTACCTACTCTTAGATTCGATGTCCTCGATTATGGAGAATAATAATTCATAAAGCAGCTTTAACATACGAACAATGTCAGCCAACGGATACTGCAAATACCTATAAAACCCCAGATAACGAACTATCCAATCCGAAAAAGCCATCAACTCACATAAATCTATACGTTAAAATGAAAAGTAGGATATACAGAGGCAGATAGCACTAGTCTTGACTATACATGTTAATTTGTATGCCTACAAAACTTTTCCGTTCTTAGAACGAAAAAGAATTTCAAACTTAAAATCTAACTTAGAAAAATCATTTAGTGTAGATGTGCTAATCATCAGGACACATATCCTGCTAATGGAAGTAACGATCAAACTGGTCGATAATGAGCGGTTTTCTTTATATTTCAAAACCGTCACTAAATATATACTAATGAACTAGAAAAAAATGAAAGATAATTGGACAAAAACTTATATATGAACAACAAGGAAAATATCTTAATATTTTAAAAAAAGAAGTAAATATTTTGGAAAATAGCCGAAGATGAAGAAAAGACACACATATGCATGGTACGAATCATCAGTACGATAGTATAACATACCCCGCACCATTTACAATCACACCCATGCTCAAGATTTGCGTAGAGTTTTATAAAAAAAAAAAAAAGAAAAAAAAGGATAAATTAACATCTACCAACAATTATATTGTTTCTTCCTCAAAAATAAATAGTCTAACAATAGAAAATGAGTCTTATAGAAGTCAATTACAAAGAACCTTATTTATCATTAGTGATGAGAAAGCTTCGATAATAATGAACGACAAAATGGATGAAGATTCATTGCTAAATATTTTAACGACTGGTGATCTTTAATTTATACTATAATTAGAAAGAAAAGAGTGAAATGTCCTTGATATTTTGTACATGTCATGGATAAACTGATGTCATACTTTATCATCTTATCATTTTCATTAGATATATTTTCAAAGGTACAACTATGTCAACAAAAGTAACAAATATAATCAAACTTCGACTTTGTTATTGGAATAGTCATGCTCGATTACAAGCTGTTTGTTATATGCTTGGAGACATTGCATATACAAATAAAAAATGTTGATTATAAAAAAGATTTAGAATTATTTGAGAAAGCAGCTGAATCATCACTATCACATAGAGGTGACGAAACAACACTGGTGTAGCCAGGAATTTTTGAGTCATGAGCAATTCATTAGCCGACCTATTTTGAGTTACGGACAGCTAAGGGCAACCGTTATGATTTCAAAAATATCTATGGACAATAACTGTTCAAGCACTGCATAGCTCAATAAATTTATGGGCAATAACTTTTGGAGCTATCGGCAACTGCTCAATGGCCCTACTCCTGGCTACGCCACTGTGAAACAATATCCAGATCATTTCATAATTTACTTGTATTCCATTAGAATGATACACATATTTTTGATCAAATATTAACAATAGGTTTGTTCAATTTATACAAATAGATTTTGTTTTTGTTCATCTTAATTTTCATAGAACAATTATTAGCACAAAAATTTTCTTTATAAGGTAAATTAACATCATCCATTGATAATGAAGAACTTTTGAATAGTTATATTGATGATGTTGTTTCATGTGTGTCTACTGATACTGTATTTAGTGTTTTACAATGCATATGAACTATGGTTGATTTTGTTGATCAAAAAAAAAAAAAAAAAAAAAATTCATCCTAACGATTTAAAGGCATTGAATAATTAACGTAAGAGAAAGTTCAACTTCATTTTATTATGATCAACAGAAACTAACTATTGCTGATTATTTTCTTTTTGAATCATATACATCAGCATGTGATTACTGTCAGAAGGTATTACTTAATGAAGATAGCTATTAAGTATTACTAAAATGATGAACAAATCATGAAAGAATGATTAACATTAGCTAATTATTTTACTCAAGTTTAATTATTTAAATGTTTTACAGGATTACCAAAAGAAAGCGAATATATTGTAATATTAGCTGCAATAAAAACAAAACCTAACTTTATTCTTTTTCTATTTAAATTTTTTAATCAAAATCTCTTAACACATCATTATTTTAGTTTAAGTTTAAGTTTGTTAACAAATTTATTGTTGTTATGTACACTCAACCAGATATGTATAAAGTGAGATATGAATGAGTCTTTCAATTAATGATAATTAAAATAAATACTATGAGTTGTTTTATGTTGATTATAACTCACAATTATATAAATAATCTAAGCTATATTTTAAATGTAGTACATTATGTGACGATATATACCATAGAGAAAAATATCAAACAATGTTTAATTTACTAGGAGTTATAACATCTGATTCGAATAGAAATAGTTAAAAGAAAGCTATGATAGAAATAACTTAAAATAGATCTTCAAAATTATATTTTTATTTTTCACATATACCCTGTTTCAAACAACGAATGATACTACATTACAGTCATTGCGTAACAATACTACAAACAATTTTACAAAATTGATAATATTTGTCAGTGACGTGTTTCATATAGTTTTATTCCAAGTGTATTATTGAATCTTGAATATGAAAATTAATTTAATGACTTATGCATATATGATCATCGACTAAAATAGAATAAATTAAAACGTTGTCAAGTACTGGATTATTTTTTTTAGTATAGACTATGTGCATCATTCACATCCTAATGAACTGTAAATACTTTAAATAATTTCGAGCTATTAGCTAATAACTGCTGAAATATTGCATCTGTGTGCAGTATTTTCTAACGCAATGCTAAAGTTTCCTTCAGAAAATACCACGAACTCTGATCTTCAAATTTCGACTAGAAACTTTCCAATGAGACAAGCCTAAATGAAAATAGTTTATTGTGATAGTTTCAGAGTTTTCGATTGTTCTTTTTCTGAAATAAGAACATTGCAATCTACTGATGTATATGAAAGACGTCAAAAAAAAAGAAATTTTTTGCCATAGTCGTATCCTGCGATAGAAAAAAATAACAAAATAATCTGAAACTTGCATAATAAACTATTCTTGTTAAGACTTGTCTCTGTGCAAAGTTTCAAGTCGAAATTCGAGCATCAGTTTCTTTTTGCATTCTTGAGAGAGCCATAATAATAATATGCTAAAGATAAATACCTTAAAAATGCAATATCTCGACAGCGCTAAGCTAATAGATCGAGTTTTTTTAAAGAGTATTTACAACTCATTAGATGTTACATGATGCACATAATCTCAAATTAAAAGTGATTTGACACTTAGAAATGTTCTCTCGTTAGAATACATGTGTACAAAAACAGGTTGAAATAAAATTCATGTTTAACTTTACTATTGGAGTTTGTCATGATCATTTTCAAGCATTACGTCATTTTAATCACAATATAAAATTGATCAGATAGTAAACAGTCTTTTTTTTTCGAACGTTATCAGTTCGTCATTAGAATGGATTACATTTGTTAGGACATATTTGAACAATAGGTTTATTATATAATCAACAAAATTTTATTCTCATCAATTCAATGATTTAACATCACGTAATAATAAGAAACTTCGATCCGTATAAAATCATCATTTCAATAAACAAGGATCTACTTCTTACAGAAGATTATATCTACAATATTATTATCAAAGCATATACCAACGTTATCGTCAATACATTTATTTAAGAAAAAAAAAGAGTTATGCATATTATTTAATTGAAAGAATTTAAGATGATCTTGTTTCATCGAATATATTACTTAAACAAGGTTTAAGATCATTTTGATAAAATCAAACTATAATCAACAATTGTTGATTATAATTTGCTTTTGAAGAGTATATATCATTTTTTATATTTTATAAATCTAATATAGTTACTAAATAGTTGTGAACAATGTTTTATGAAAGATTCATATGAAGATGAATATTTGTTAAAATAATAAATTGTGTGTGTAAAGATCAATTAAATAAAGAAGCAAAAATATTTATGTAAAACCAATAGTGATTTGATACAATAAAAGCTTGATTAAAATAATTGGTTTTCTGTAAATAAGAAATTATAATATTTCTATTGTTTTAATCCTAAGCAAATTGATAATAGTTAAATTCTAAATAAAACTAATGACAACTTTCAAAAAAAAAAACGAATTCGACCATATCGATTTCTTCTATTCATTGCGACTACTATCGCTTATTTTGAGTATTAGAGAAATTAATATTAAACCTCTTCGCTCTTATCTCGATCTCATAAGTCAATATTTTCTAAAATTAATATTGCTTTTGTAAACAAAAACCTTATTTACAATATTTTGCAAGATTTGTTTAGATGTCTTGAATACTATTTAGAAAGCAACTATCGTAAGAAAGAATAGACAAATTTGCTATGAAAATCGGCTCTATCTGAAAAAAATATGAATTCTATTCTCATTTATGTCGGTATCGAGGCTCTGCGTAGGATGAGACAATCCTATATCATTCCGTCCTATTTTTTCCATAGGATAAGATGGAATAGAAATGTTTGAGGATAGTTCTATCCCACGTAAGGCAATTCACGATAGTTCATCCCATCTCATTTCATATGAAATTCTATTCAGTATAGAATTATAAGAATATTTATTATGTTTTACTAAATAATTTGTCTAATTTTGAATAGATATATTTTCATTGAATGTACATGACTAGATTGTTTTTCATATAATTAATATCAATTTTTTTGAAAGTACATCCTGATAAAGCTTATTATTAAATGATAAAAATCATAGAACTTTCGATGGTATAGTGTACAAGTGCAGTAGGAACTTTAAAAAAAAGAAACATAAAAAGTTTTTTTTTTCTTATCTATAGGAAGAATAATAAATGAATAGTTTTCATCGATATTTTATTATAACAATATCAGTTGAAGAATAACGCACGTTTTATGATATCAGTACATAAAGAACAAAAAGTTTCTTGAAGTTTTCTACATAATGTCATAGTGCACTCGAGACATCTTTTGATATATTCTAAGTATAAAATATCTATAGAATTTTAAAAAGAATAAAGAAATTTTTGAAAATATTAGTTTATCATGAAGATTTAATTTTAATATTATTTGAAATATAATTGTCAAATTTTTTAATAATTTTTGAGATAAAACGTGATAAAGTAAAAGCAATCAATTAAAATAAAATATGAATCTAAAATATAAAATTTATAGATCGAATTAAAATCGAAGTTTTAACATCAATAAAGATAAATATAACTGTATACTTAACAAATCTTATCTTAAAATATTAGAAGAATTGATCATTTTGTATTCGTAATAAATAACAAAAAAAAAAAAACACTAATTTTTCATTATGAAATCAATCTTTCTAATTAATTAAAATTTCCATCTGTCAGATAAACATATTTAAGTTCTCACAAAATCAAATTCAAAGAAAATTCGTTTGTTTGCCTTAAGAAGATTATTTTTCTTTTTTTTTTTTCATAATTAATATTTCAATGAAAATTTAGTACATTATTTGTTGAGTACTAACAATGTACGATTAAAATAATTAAAAAATAAAAATATTAATCAACTAAAAAGAAAACTATTTTGACATGTTTTCTTTTCAAAAATATTAAAAATATTTGTAAATCAACGTACTTCTCAAATATAGTACATTGTCATGTTTTTTATGATCTCAATATCATAAACATATTCAAATTTTATAATGAATCAATGTCGAAGTATGCATTTACTAGTAATGAATCATCCTTTGATATTCTCTGTTTGGTATGTCAAAACAAAAATATAATATAGATCGAAAATATTATTTTCGTATTTGTATGAAAGACATAATATTATTTAAAGAAGTATTTGTAATGATATAGTCTATTATTATTATTTTTTTTTTTCATATTCGTAATACATTAAAGTATGATTTTTATGTATCTTTAGTTGATATTTTGCGTATATCTGTAATTGTGCACTGAAAGAATATGTTTACTTTGGGTTATGATGACATAACTAAATACGTTGCTAATGATATAAACAGTAAACGATAATATAAAGATCTTGTTTAAAGAATTATGTAACTTAGATTAAAAAATTTTCTACATTCAAATATTAAATAAAAAAAAAAAAGAAATAAATATTTCCTTTTTTTCAAGTATGATTAAAATTCAACATATAATAATAATTATTATCATCAAAACAACAAAATACATAGAATACATAGCTATTACAATAGAATCAATACTTTGTTTTTATATACATTGTTTTGTATTTTGCTTATATTATATGATAAGACATATTTGTATGGAGTCTCATATTTCAATGATATAATCATGTTGTGCTTTATTTATTTATTTTTGTTTCCTACACAAGAGTAAAATAACTACAAGGACATGTCATTCTTATCTATAAAAAAAATGTCACCGAATATGTTGTTGAGTTAAAATGATTGAATTTCGTTTTTTTTTGTATTTTAAAAAATAAATTTATTTATCTACTATTTCTTGGCAATATATATATATATATTTATTATTTGTTATTTTTTTTTACGTTTGTTTCTATTTAATCTAAAATATTTCATTGCAAGAAAAAAAAAGAAAGCGTCAAATGACCATTTGTATACTTGATAATATCCTGAATCATATTTTGTATATGATAATAGAGATCATAAGTCGTCCTTTTTTATTTTAATTCGAAAGTCCATTGTATGCACATGTTTAAGACGTGATTCAAACCGATATCAAAGGGCAAATTTTTACTTTTATTTTTTCTTCGTCTTCTTTTTTTTGTACGTCAACGTATTTGCATCGTTAGTATGCTATGTCATCATCTTTTCCTATCACAAGTTGAGCGCATGATCTACCCAGTTTTCTTTTCCACACACCTCTGCCATTGGGGGTGTGTTTTGTTCTGTTCTGATAGCGAATAGAGTATGATCTACTGCGTGTTTTTTTCTTTCTTCTACATAACACGACTGTGTGATCAACGGCTGATAGTAGCTGAGATCACGCATGCATTGCGTGATTGTACTTGAATTGCCTTTTTTTTCTACTGTGTACTTACATAGTTCACATATAGCTAAATATGAAATTAGTTGCATATTAGAATCTATATAAAAATAGAAGGCATATTCATGATTCAACAATCGTTTTGCATTGCATCAGATGATTTGGAAACGAATATAAAAGAAAATTTAACAACCAATATGTATACCGATTTAAATGAAATCGATATGAATATTAATCCGAAAACTGAAGTTATAAGTTATATGGTAAGATTTTTTTTTTTTTTTTTTTTTTTTCATGATTATTATAGATATAAATTATAATTTTTGTTTTTTTTTTTTTGTAATCAATAGGATCGTCCTGTTAGTGTACAAGATGCTGAATTATTACTTTCAATAAGTACTGTATCATCACCACCATCAAAACCAAGAAAACTTCATCCTAAATTTCGACCAGTAAATAATTTAAAATATTTCATTTCATTAAATTTATTTGTTTCTTTTTTTTTAAATATTTAGTATATTTGTGAATCAATTGATACATCAATTCCAACATTAAATAATTTAACATTATCAAATCGATCAAATTCAATATCATCATCTGTATCTGATGAATATTCATCAACATCATGTACATCTCCATATTCATCATCAAATGATGATAGTCAAACATCTTTAATTCAAAATAATAATAATAATGATACTCCGATTACTAATAATAATCAAGAATATCATGTACTCTATGTTAATCTCAATGGTGAATATGTTCCTGTAGCTAAAACTTCATTTACAATTTCGACAACATTTCCATTATCAAACTTTCAAATATCAACATGTAAACCAAAATTAATATTTGATCGAAAAAGAAATCATATTTGTACATATTCTGGTTGTCAAAAATCATATTTTAAATCATCTCATTTAAAGGCTCATATTCGATTACATACTGGTAAGTTTGTTTTTTTTTCGTACTAACAAAAGAAAAAGAGCTAAAAATAGTTGACAAAAAAAAAAAAAAAACAAAACAATAATCGTACTATTACGTTGTAAAATTTCACATGCTATGAAAGAGAAATGAGAAGATAACGAAAGGATTTATTATTGTCTTAAGACGTTAAAGAGAAATTATGTCGTCATATATTTTACGCAAAAAAAGAAAATAATAATAACTGCTTTTGAAATTTTTAATTCATTAAATAGATATTTAAATAAATAGTTAATATATGATATATATATATATCAATAATTTTTTTCTTTTTTTGTTTTAGGTGAAAAACCATTTTCATGTTCGTGGTCAAATTGTGATAAAACATTTGCACGATCAGATGAATTAAGTCGACATCGACGAACTCATACTGGTGAAAAAAAACATGTTTGTCCTGTATGTCAAAAAGCCTTTATGCGTAGTGATCATTTATCAAAACATCAAAAACTTCATACAAAAATTAAGATTTCATCTTCATGAATATCTTATATTTATTTGTACATAAGTTTTATGACTTTTCTTGTTTTTTTTTGTTTTTTTTTGATGAATTATCGAATCACGACATATTCATCTACAATTTAAGTATTATTTTACTAGTCAAACAATGCATAAAATGGACAAATGTCGTCTATAATATGAGCTTTTTTTTAAAAAAGAAACGTCTTTTTTTTTTTCTTGCTTTGTATTTCTATTTACGACATTATCTTTTACCATTGTATGCACATGATTTTATAAATGTTATTTTTCTTTTTGTTTTGTATTTGTGAAACATGAACAATTATCTTTGTTCTACATAAAAGTTTTGAAAAATATTAGTATAGATAAAAACAAACTTTTCTGTTTTTCTTTTTGTTTCTCATTTTTTTTAAATGAAATATGAACAATTTATCAGTTGTTTTTGTCTCATCAAGCCGATTTTAGAATTACATAGGCTATAGTAACAGTTAAAAATATACTTTCATCTAAATGAAATGAAAGTTTTGTAGGAAACAAGGACATGAGTATCTATAGGATGATCATATTTGTTATTCTTCAGTCAAGGTTACTGACAAATAGTTTGCAAAAGGATAAAACAAATTTCGCAATGTTTATTGCAACATGAGAAAAAACAATAGTGTATATTGAAAGAAAATAGCCCATCAAGTGTAACTGAAAGAAAGAAAAAAACAATATTGTTTTGAAATTACAATACATCCTGTGTAACATGTTTGTTCACAGTGACGTCGATATACCGGTTTTAGATTTCAGTTTGAAAAATAACTATTGATATGTCGAAGTAGAATGATGTTTACAACATAACTGATTATTTAAATATCAAATCCATGCCAGTATATCGAATAATCTATTGGCAATTTTGTTTTATTTGAATCTAATAATATACACTAATATAAATGATCTTTGCAAAAATTTGGTTCTTTGCGTTTTTTTTTTTTAATATTTATTCAATTTATATATATATATTTAACCCTTAGATAAAGAATATACTTTGTATAAAAACAGATCTATTGAAGGTCATATTTATATGTTTCAAAAGATTAGTAATATTGATGAGAAAGAACATTAACAAAAACCAAAACTGACTTTTTTTTTTCTAAATAAAAAAATGAAATATTAAAATCATTTTTCATAATTCTTATAAATAAAAGTCACACATAAATTATTAAATATGATCAATTCGAAAAAGAAAAAAGGACCTTCTTTTGATTTCTCCTTCATTTAGATTCATGCATGAATGATTACATAGATCAATTTTTTTTTGCGTATTCATATACACAAAAGAACGAATGATAAAATATATGAAAAAACAAGTCAAGTCTCTTATGAATTTTTATATTTATTAGAAAAAATTTACATGAAGATTAGTCAGTAATTTTGATTTTCGTTTTTTTTTTTTTTGTTTTTAGAAATTTATCAAAACATGAGAATTCAGCAATTCAATAATCATGTTTTATAATTATAGACACTATCAAGATATAAATTTTTGATTTATCATTTGGTTTCAGTATTGTTACCTGTGTTCATGATGCTCATACTAATGGAAGAGCATGTTTTTAAAAAATTATACAATCGATATGAGCAAAAAAAATGAATATAATAGATAATTTACAATCAATTGAACAATTATCTTATGTACACACAAATTCTTAATTTTTTCGTATGTAATAATCATTTAAAAAAATGAATAAATAACTCATTTGTATTAATTATGCAAAAAATGTTGAAAAACTCGTCTGATTTCTACAATTTTGGTTTTTTTCTTGTGTCATTGTATCTTTTTAATTTTTGAAAAATTTTAAATGAAATAAATCCTAACATCTACTTTTTATTGAAATATAATTTAATAGTTTTTCAAATAATCTCAAATTTAAATATAATATTTGATAGTTTGGAAAAACAAATACCAAAAAATTCATTTTATTAGAATATTTTTGTTTTTTTGAACTAAAATTTTAAGATAAAAAAAAACAAAAAAATTCTCATATTGTTATTAAATTTTTGATCAACTTGAAAAAAATTCAAGAAATTAATAGATTATATCATTTATTTCAAAGTATAATTCCATTTATTCGTTATTATTATTATTTTTTTTAGATGACTTTACAAAAGATAATAAATTATATTTTATATTTTATTTCTATTCACTCATGTTTATATCTACTAACTAAACAATTAATTTGTTCAACAAATTGTTCGATAATACAAGTCAAATATTTTGAATCTTTTATTGAACCTACTAATCCTAATTCATGTATTAATAATACATCAACAATGATTTGTAAAGGGCAAATAATAGCTTATTATAATGGTAAAACATATCCAAAATATATTAATTATACTTTTGGAAAAATTAATGATATATTAGAAAGAAAATATGAAAATGATATTGATACATATGGATTAGAAATTTTTCAAAAATCTCAAGTTATTATTAATGCAACAAATAATGAAACAATTATTATAACTGATATTTATTGTACAATGAATAATCAATGTGCATTAATTGAAATAAAAAAATTATTTATTAAATATAATAATCAAATAAATCCATATTATGAATTAAAACCATTAATTTATGTTGATAGACCATTAAAAAAACTTTCTTGTTTTGATATTTCAATTGATAAAAATCAACAATGTAATATAACAAATGATAATAATTCTGTTTGTTTATCATATTTAAAAGATTTTAAATATGAATGTTCATTTGCATTAGATATATATATACATGTTGAATTTATAATAACAATACCAATGTTCTTATCATTAAAACAAATGAATGAATTAGTCAAATGTAATAAAGATAATTGTAATAGTTTTGAAACATTAGCACAAATTGAGAATATTACAAGAAATTATGCTTATGGTAATGTTATTATGAAAAATAATTCTATAGGACAACGAACAAATATAAATCAAATTTATTATATATTTTTATCGATATTTGTTTTAATAATCTTTTCTTTTCGATATATTTATATGAAATAAATATTGTTTATTGTATTTTAATTGAATTAGTTCTAATCTAGTTTTGTGTTTGATTATAAAAAAATAAAATTTTTGAATAAAATAAATCAAGAAAATTTAAATTATATCGAAAAATTTGATAATAGAACTACAGTACACATAAAAAATCTCGTACTATTTTTTTTTCTCTTCGATCCTATACTTAACGTCCACAATATTAATTTAATTTGACTCTCTACTTTTATCGTAGAGGTCAAGTACTATGCATATATATACAGCTGTTTAATACGATAAAACCTTAAATATGAAATACACTAAGAAAAAACTAACCTCAATGTTAAGAAGAAATTGAAAAAAAAAAACAAGATAAAATGATATTCATGTTATAAAAAGACTCGGTCGGATTATGTCTTCTATTCAAAAATGACAAGGTTTGTTAGTGCAGTTCTCCATTATATCTAAAGTAGCAAGTCTTAACCCATTATTATATTTCTTGATCAATTCATAAACACTTATATTGATTATTTTTCAAAACTATAACTTGATCGATTCACGTTTTCTATGGATTTATATCTGTGCAAAAGTTTTCATTAATGATAGTAAAGTCAAACTATCCTATGAAATTCTGTATCAAGGTTACATTCATTGGTTTCGTTTTCTTTATTTTTCGAATCATATTTCAAAAATCACATCCAGCCATGAAATTTGTTTTTCATATTTAACATACAAAAAAAAAATATGTAACGCAATCCCTACGAAAACTAAATATAAAACATAATATAGCTGTTGTTTCTTATCATTGAGAGATCGTTTTAATCGGTAATTGGAAAATTTTTTCTCACTATAAGTTAGGAATATTTTTTTTCGAATATTGAATTGGAAATTTTGTCTAAGTTTTTGTTCATGACTAGTGAAATAATGTCTAAAGAGTTAAACAAAATTTGTTTGAATAGAACTGGTGGATCGATGTGTTCGGTAAACTTGTTTATTCATTTTAGTCTACTTGAAAGCATTTCAGACGAACCAAAATTATGTCTATTTCTATTCAAACGAAATAAGAAACTTTTTGGAAGATCGAGAAAATAATTTTCAACAATGAATCGATAGATGTTGTATTTACATTACAAGTTCTTTTTTCGAACATGCTAAATATTGTCGGAGCTCATCGTTTTGCAAAACGAATGTAAAATGATTATCAATTTTTCAAAAATGAGTACTTAAGAAAAATAGAAATTGAAGTAGCTTGTTGAAAGACAAAAAAAAAATTTCAATTAAAAGTTTATGACGATCTTAAAATAGTGTCTGACAGAGTCTTGTGAAGATTGGAAAAAGTTAAATTCCTATTTTATACATTTTTTTTATTGATTTTTCATAAAATTATTGTGTATTTGACATTTGTTGTTACAAAAAAAAAATATCAAGAAAAAAAATAATAATTTATTTATAACTCTTTGAGTTTTTCCTATAAAAATATGGAACAAAAAAAAAATAACATGAGTAAACCTATAAGAAATTGTTACTTATTGTCAAATACAAAAAGATAAATAAATAATAATCTATTCAAAGAATAAGATACAAATTAGTTGATTGTTTTTTCGAAAGAATACAGATTTTTCACACTATTAATCATCAGATCATTCGATAAGGCAAAAAAAAGAAAAAGAAAAAAATATTTAATCATCATCATCAAGAATAGTTTTTCGAATCACTGTTAAATAATATTCATATGTACTATTTATAATTCCCCATGATATAAGACTTCGTACAAAATTCCATTTTGCACCAATATAAAATTCTTTTAATGAATTTCCACGTTGTTTATAAATTGTACGAAAAATATTTATTAGACGATCATCATATCTACCATCAAGTTTAGATTGTTGAATATTTTTTAAAACATTTATTGGATAAATAAATGTTGATAAAACTGCACCTAATAAACCACCACTTAAAAAATTATATATTGTATGTTGAAAATTTGATGATGGATTTGGTAAAATATCTTTAATTGGTTTTCGACAAGCAAAAAATATTATATTTGTTAGACTATTACGTATTAATATAAGTGTTAAACCACGATAATATTCAATAATACCATGATATTGATGTATAATTATAAATGCATGTGATATATTACGAATTAAATAATTATATTTAGGTGTTTGTAATAATACTTGTGTACGTTCTAATGGTGTTAGAATAGCTTCTGTACTACCAGCAAGAATAGAAGCAAGTGGTTGATGATACCAATGATCTTTTTTTGAAAATGATTGAAATATATGTAAATAATGTGAATTTGTACCAAACATAATACTTAATGAAAGAGTTTTTTGTAATAATGGTAATGGTATACCACGATATAAAATAATAAAACCTTCATTTTTTAATTGTTGATAAGCATCAAATGTTTTTAAATGACCAATTTGTTGTCGAAATATTAATTTATTAACTGGATATGTTAAAATAATATTTGTTGTTGATGAGAGAAAACCAGCTATATATTCTGGTGCACGATATTTAAATTTATATGATATTTGATTTGAAATAGACATCATCGGAATAAAATGTACAAAATGAATTTTATTATTATTATTGATGATGCTAATTTACAACCATCTATAAGAGAATAAAAAAAAAAAAAAGAAACATCCAAATCAAACTTACGAAAAAAAAAACTATATTCTAACTGTCGAATGGTTGTTCGATCTTAGATATGTACTGAAAAATCAATTAATAGAATTTCGAACTGTAATTTCATCTATAGATAAGTCTAATAATTCTTGAGATAATGTGAGAGTTTGATTAGAAAAGAAATATTCTTCTATTGAGATATTTGAATTTTCAAGTAAACTCGATTTTTGTGATATATCGATGATAAACAACTATTTGTTAGAAATGTCATATTTTTGTGAATGAACATTTTTTTTTCTGGTTGAAATTTTTAGGATGTTCTTAAGATTGTTAGATCTATCTATAAGCTGAAGTTTATGTCGATATTCTATTATTTGACTTTTCAATGATTATCTAAAAATGAATCCAAAATTTAGTGAAACAGTCATAATTCGATTCTATAGATTCATAGATACGAACTTTTTTGAGTCTTACCGAAACTTGTTTGTGGATTCAATATGAATTAAAATAGTAAATCACAGTTAGAGTAGTTCTCTCATCAGTGAAATGAAGAAGATTCTTAAAGATTTCAGGTTCAAGCACTTATAATTATGACTATTTTAATGAGTTTCTTGACTTCGGAATCAATTATTCATGAAAAATACAATAGTAGGGATTTTCAAAGGAAAATTTTCTTCATAGATCAATCTTATAGTCATTAGATTATCCTAAAAATAAATATATTCTTCTTCAGTTTAAAATAACTGTTATCTACTCGTATTTTATTAGTAAAATAAAGTTATGAAAGATTAACGAATGTTGTGAAATATGAAACAAAAACTTCAATACGTTGTCAGTATCTATATATTTTTATTGGAATAATTAGTAATTATTTATCGAAACAAAACTTGCAGATAATTTAAACACTATATTCTTCAACTGTTTAGTCTTTTTTCCTTTTGGAATTGAAATTTTTCGAAACTAAGCATTTTATAAAATGATTATAATCGATCGATTAGCTTAACAGTTTGCATTCAAATTATTCTGAAGTTTTTAATGATAATGTTTATATTACTGTCGTAATATATGATGCATTGACCATGAACGAGTAATAGTTTTTTCTTAAAATTAATATCTCTTAAGTGTGAATAACTAAAATTTTAAATGATGCTATCATTTACACATGCTGTATAGCGCCTTTTGGATTCCTAGCGAAAGAGTCATACAAACAAGGACGTACCCGATGTTGCTTGGCAAAACGCTGCGATGCATGAATAATGTACTTTTTTTGGGCCTATCATTTAAACGATAAAATAAGTCAAGTAAATGCATATATATAAAAAAAGAAATGCTTGCAAAGCAAGATATAGAAGTTATTTTTTTGCAAACATCTATATATCACAAGTTAATTTATAGAACTACGTTTTCTTAGACATGCAATATCTCAAAAAGAGAAAAGAAGAACATTTATTCGAGTTGAAATTTTTAGGATATTCTAATGACTTTGAGACTTGTTGATGAAAATTTCCTCATTGAATTTTCTATTAATAGTTGATCCAACGGTTGAAAATCTACTAAAACGATCAGAATATGTAATACATAGATCCGAAATCTTCTAGTATTTCTCTTAGTTTCATGGAGTTCTACTCATGCTTAAATATCACTGATTGAACAGTGTCTAACAATCGAATAGATTATATTGTTTGTTTTATTATAAGAATTCTATGACATTTTCATAAATATATTATTGTATATTCAGTGATATTTAAATTTTTAATCAAGATTTAACTTAACCAAACTAAATATTTTTCTTTTTGAATACTTAAACAAAAAAAAAACAAAAAAGAGAAAAATTTTCGTTTTATATTCATTACAAACTTAAAACAAGAACAATGATTTGATCGATTAAATATGAACTAGTATATTTTTATCTTGTCAGCTCTATTGTCTCTCATCACTCTCGTTTAACTTTCTTTTACAGCTGACATTTATCCCATTGGTAAAACGAATATCTTGTTGTATACAATCACACATTTATATATACATATACGTATGCATATTGGTAAAATATTCAACGATCGTTTGTGTTCAATTAGGAAATAAAAAAAAAGAAAATATAAACAATACATTTCTTTTTTTCGTTTTCATTGAAACGTGAAATACTCGACAGAAAAGACAGCTCCGGTCGACTGACTTTCTGTCATCGTCTCTTAGCTAGTATAAGCAGAAAGAAAACTTGTCGTGTGTGTCTATATGTGTACATGTATATATATATGTGTATATCTTATCTTCCTTCTTCATTCGTTCATGACTCCTCCTTCGATGTTCGAACGGAAGAAGTAAGATAAATGTATGTATGTATGTAAACTATATACTACTGTCATCATTATTATCATATGGTTTGTGTGACG